GTGTGTTATCAATATCACAGGAACAGAATGCAAACATGACAAATAAATGAAGAAGGTTACTGGTCATTTTGTAGTCAAGGACTTCGATAGAGGTCGAGTTACAACACAACTGAGATAGTATCAACTAAGGTATGCCTGTTGCACAAACGCTGTTGCCAATAAGAATGAGGCGTGGTGAACCCCGCGTGTATTTATATTGACTATCCCATTAAATGTATTTTGTAGACTGTGTAATTGTGGGAACTGAATGGAAATGATAGCAATCGACTTTCATGTAAATAACATTAACTGCTGCTTTCGAATGGGCAAATAGATTACAGGAAAGTATAGGTGTGAAAGGGTCACATACTGATCTATGGCATTAGCTATACAAACAAGACAACACGCCTAGTATTATAAAACTTGAGGCGCACAAGATACACCGTCGTCCATCAACATTGTCTGATTGATTGACAAACAAGAGTTAATGTGTCCTTTCACTTAAAAAGGACTCTGATCGGTCTCACAGAGGATAAAAAACGATCGAGTTGGAATCCTTTTTGTTAATTAAACACCACAGAGTGCCGGAACACACTTCTTTACAAATAAACTATCGAGAGTCATACAGTAACCAATAATATCATGTAGGGTTTTATAGATACTTTTCCAAGTTGCTACATGTCTGAGTATGTTTCAAAATACTTTTGACATATTCAAAATAGTGTGAACATATACTTAAATTGTAGATATGTTATCACAGTTTCATGTTTTAACACAAGCGGCGGTGTCAGTAACGACGTTGCAGCAGAGCTTCTCCACCTTATTCCAGTGCCTATTCCTTACTAAATATGTCCTCCCCGGCCCGAGATCGGTTCAATTCAATACATCTAGATGCATCTGCTGCTTTGTCCAATTCGCCTCACCAGTTTTGATAAAGGAGTATTATACAAACAAAATAGTACATGTAGGAACACTGCTATTAGAACAATAGCCAGTGGATAAGTAATAATGCAAAATCTACCACTTCTTATGGTATGTAAAAATGAATGGCATGAGGAACATTGACTAAGGAATGATGTAGACACATTGACGTACATTGTAGAAAAAATGATTTAGGGACATTGACGTAGGAACGATGTAGAGACATTGACGTAGGGACGATGTACGGACATTGACGTAGGAACGATTTAGACACATTGACGTACATTGTAGAAACGAATGATTTAGGGACATTGACGTAGGAACGATGTACGGACATTGACATAGGAACGCTGTACGGACATTGACGTAGGAACGATGTACGGACATTGACGTAGGAACGATGTACGGATATTGACGTAAGAACGATGTAGAAACATTGACTTAGGAACGATGTACGGACATTGACGTATGAACGTTGTACGGACATTGACGTATGAACGATGTACGGACATTGACGTATGAACGATGTACGGACATTGACGTAGGAACGATGTACGGACATTGACGTAGGAACGATATGGAAACATTGACACAGGAACGATGTACGGACATTGACGTAGGAACGATGTGGAAACATTCACGTACATTGTAGAAACGAATGATTTAGGGACATTAACTTAGGAACGATGTACGGACATTGACGTAGGAACGATGTAGACACATTGACGTACATTGTAGAAACAAATGATTTAGGGACATTGACGTAGGAACGATGTACGGACATTGACGTAGGAACGATGTACGGACATTGACGTAGGAACGATGTAGACAAATTGACGTACATTGTAGAAACTAATGATTTAGGGACATTAACTTAGGAACGATGTACGGACATTGACGAAGGAACGATGTAGACACATTGACGTACATTGTAGAAACGAATGATTTAGGGACATTGACGTAGGAACGATGTAGAGACATTGACGTAGGAACGATGTACGGACATTGACGTAGGAACGATTTAGACACATTGACGTACATTGTAGAAACGAATGGTTTAGGGACATTGACGTAGGAACGATGTAGGAACATTAACTTAGTAACGATGTAAGGACATTGACGTAGGAACGATTTAGACACATTGACGTACATTGTAGAAACGAATGATTTAGCGACATTGACGTAGGAACGATGTACGGACATTGATGTAGGAACGATGTAGAGACATCCATTTAGGAACGACGTACATACATTGACGTAGGAATGAGGTAGTAACATTGACGTAGGAACGATGTAGAGAAATCGACGTAGGAACGTTGTATAGACAAAGAAAATATGTATAACTGAAGCGTATTATTTTGTTAATTGTTTTCTTACTTGAGGACAACAACACCGCCATTTAAAACCACATGTTACTTTAAGCATTGAACGAAATATAAATGAACAATGATAAGGAGTAATGATAAGGAACACACCTGATAGACGGGATTTATAGCGTGTAGTGTACACCTTAGGTTTTAGTCCGGGAAATTATGACTTGGAAAGATAGTTGTTGAATCTTTCTGAGGTTGGAGAAAATCATTCGCCAATATTCCAACTTCGAAATCAAGGGGGTGTCGTTATCGATATATATTGTACGTATCCTCTGTATGCCTTTGGAACATGTCTTTACAAAATCTAGGACTATGCACGCGTTATTTTAGGGATTGTAAGAGTTGATACGGCTGGGAACTGTTATGATAATGTGAATACCTGCGATGGTTTTGATATAAGATGATTTAGTTTCACGAGGCTGAAAAGATGCATATTGTATTTCAGCTGTGATACTGGGACCACGTGTGAGACGAAATCTGCCCTGCCAGCTCTGTTGGTTTTGTCATCCATAGGAGCAGGGATGGGAATGCTGCTTTCCCTACTGATTGGACTGACTATATACTTCTACTCTAAACACAGTTATAACTCTGCCTCCGGGAAACGGTAAATAACATCCTCTTCAATTTGAATCTTACCACAAAATCACCATGATGTCTAAGTACATTTTGCGTAAAGTAGTGAAGGTGAAACAGCATTAATGAAATAAATATTTATTTTTTTATAAATACTCCAATAAATATGTATAGTAAAACGTAACAGCGTTCAGAGGAGCTTCGATTATCGCCCATCTTCTTTTCGCATTGGGTTTACTCGGACAATCACTTGTTATTGAAAAATCAACATGTCTTCCTTAACGCTGAGTGGACAGTAGAAACCAAATGAGCTTTTGGCAGATTATCGGAACTTAGATACTGTCCAATTTGCTATAAGCTGACTGATAATTGAAGTCGATTGTCATAAGTATTACGTACATGTATATCATCAACAAGTAGAAATGAAATACTACCGGAAGTTTCGTTCAAATAAGGACTTTCTTTATTGCGTATACACATGCTGCATTTTTTATAATAAATAATGAGTAGTATTCTGTTTATATTAATATATCCATGTGTGTTACTCGTTAAATATATTCATTAAAACTCGTGGAGTTTAATTGGACATATAAGTATATATGTATGTACTTCATAAATCATGACGATATCATCTGTGCTAGATAGGTTTTGTTACTTTCAGATGCTAACTTGACATATTCAGTGTTTGATGTGGTGAAGTTCAAATGTAACTTAAGGGGTGAATTGGTTAAAATAAATAGCTATATCAGACAGCATTATAAGGTTACAAACTATTTCTTGAAACTAATTCAGATATCTTATTTCATTTATGAGTTCCTCTTCAGACTTAAGTCATTTCTTTGTTAGATTGAACATTTGGACATTTTTAAAAATCATACAAAGTTATATCAAAATTTAGAAATAAATCGTTGAATAAATTAATTATAGTGTGTACCGACATATTGTCTTTTATGTATCCCACATGGAAGTGTTTCGATATGGGTGACATTACAGCAAATAAAAGAGTTCCCTCCCCCTATCAATGCATAGCAGAACAAAATAAATACACTACATAGCAGATAATTCACTTTATTGATATTTGATTGTGTTGATGTCGTTAATCATGAAAAAAAGCAAAGACAAGTTAGATTATAAAACAATACATATTTATATATCGGAAATGGGCATTTTCGATTTACATAAGAGGGGTTTTCGTCTATGTATCGTCCAAATCGATATCAATCGTTAAATTTCTGCAACACAACAAGAATGACATCTCAAATTGTAGTTTAAAAACCAACAAAGGAATAAGTTGATAATTTCGACATGATTACATAATATTATTTAAAATAGAAACCAGGGAATTTTGTTTGCTCTGAACAAATTGTCTTTTCGACATATAAAAGGTTTTAGGGAATCTGTCTCAATCTAAAAGCTCTGGGGAAAACAAGGCTAAATATAAATAATATGGATATTTTCTTCACCAATCGAAGATGCTATTTACATATACATGTATCAGATGAATTTAAACTTAAATATGAATAATTCACAGCAAACATAAACCTTAAAAAGGATACTTATATTAAGCATTATTTCATACTTTCGTAACAATAATATATACCCTACTATGTTTTCTTCATGTGGATGGTTACATTGTAAACCATTCTCTTTATTATAATTGTATGTAGACAAAATCTAAACAAATAAGGACATACAACAACAAAAAACGCACATAAATGGACATAAACTCTTAAACGTGATATTAACATACAATTAACACAAATATTTACAGACTTATCCAGTTCATAGATTCATGAAGCACTGACATAAACAAACGTTTTTAAAAAATAACAAGAATCATTAATTGAAATTGTAAAAAATATTACTAAAATCCGGGAACATTTGGTACAGTGTATGACATGCAAAATAGTTTGAAAAGCAATTTAATAAGGAAAAAGTAACTTTTCTTAGATTATGCAGTAAATATGTTAATTGTTGATTGTCGAATCGTGCATCTATTTTGGAAAGAAAAGAAAGTCTCAAAGTACAATTCGGTACACTGTTGTGTTTTTCGATTATATATATGCATTTTTAAAATATAAAGCGTTATACACCATCATCAAATTGAACAAACCATGTAAAGGTAAGTTCAGGGACGATTCCATAACAAACAAAATCAAATAAAACACTGAAAAAGGAGGCCCTACACATTATAAAAGATTTTTTTTTGCAAGGTTTGCGCCATTGGAAGAGACATTCATGTCGGATCATTTCATCATGTAATGAGACAACATGTCTGTTCATATGACTGAAGGATTCCGGTTCTCTGAAATTGCTGGTAGTTTATGGTGTCTTATTCCAGTTTTCAGCTAATCTTCAGTATCTGTATCTAGAATATATAAAAAACGGAAATGTAAATGTAATAATAACCGTGGAATTTAACAATGGAAATTGATGCGGCACGAATACAACGAAAGAACTAGTCATTAAAAAAACGGATCGTCGCATTACTTAAAAAAGGAAAGCACACATAATGAAAGCAGAGTTACCAAAAGGAACTGATGGGACGGCCTTCGTACTTTACCAGAGGCAAAACTAGAAACTCTGAAAACTTAACTGTTTTCTGAAAACGTTAAAAGTCACGATGTAAAGTATATTATTCTATTATCACGTACGCCTTTCATGTAACACAAGTTTGAAATTCACCTGTTTTGTACAAATTCCTCGGCTGCCATATTGTTACCTGTCCAGTTCATGGGTGCTTGTCGTCCTGGATACATCAAACGTCCTTGCCTTGGTATTGGCCTATAGAAAGGTATACAAACATTGCAGTGCAGTGATAAATAAAATTAATACAGGGCCAATTTGTTTCCGGATATATTCATATGTAAAATATTTTGGAGCAGTACCTGTTGTTCTGCACTGCTTCGACTGCTGTCTTATGATAATCTGCCAATCTCGGGTAGAGTTGTGGTGCCGGATACATTCGACGTTCTTGCTCTGGTATTGGTCTATGAGAAAAATGTATTGATATAGAATGGTAATAGCGATGAAGCTTAGAAATAATAATAACTTGAATGATACTTTCACCCTTATTTCGTCTTCTTGATGCTGTTAAATTATGTTCATTTTGTTTTTTGTAGTTAAAGAAATGAGACAAACTTATTCAACTTTAACATTGCTAAAACTACTTGTAAAATAGTTCTTTTAAGCNCCCACCCCCAGTCTTTGTTAAAAAAAAAATCAACGTATATGCGTGTATTACAGTAGAGTATAGAACGAAGATGAGAAAATATTGGAAACGAAATTGACGAAGTCCGCTTCCGACCTCATTCTGCCATTCGACAAATGATATAGTCCCGTTTCCCGCTTGTTTCTCGGTACAATTTCCGGGGAGTTTATTTGAGGAAAGTGTTGTTTTGTTGGAAAATAATACACATACGTATATGATCTATCGTCCAATAATCCTTGATTATCAACCAATTAAAAGTATCGTTACATCGGAACCGTGGTAAAATTTCACATAAACAGTAATCAAAATTTGATAGCATGGTTGGGGAAGATTTAAACCTATTGTACCTATGCAACTTGAAACGAGCAAGGAAAGTGACAGAGCACCGGACTACACGAATGAGACTGACCTTTGACCTGGCGGAGTTTCCAATATAATATCCATGTCCTCATTCTCCATCCTGGAGGTATTTCTATGGACCTCTGCAGTGCCGGGAAGCGTCGGACTGTGACAATGTGATATACTCATTATAGTTATTTTACAATAGCACTTGAAGTTAATTGCCTAATGTAGTTCATAAACGGTTGTATTCTCATATTCAAATCCTTTTTAAAAATATACATCTGTATAGTTTTCATTACATACAGTACATCTATTAAGGTGAAAGAATATCTTAGATATCTTAATAAATAATGGGCTTAGATACTGCACATACCTATTTGGTTTTCCTGTTTGTCTGCGTCTGTTCCTAGCAATGAGGCAGATGATAAGTACGATGAGACCGATTATGACAGCAAATTCACATGTATTGAAGATGTAAGTATTGTTCTTACTAAAGAACTTAAAGACTTCCTCCTCACATGTGTCACCTTTGTAAACAAGGGTCGAATCTTCCTTGCATCTGTGTAAAAATTTGTATACAAGTACAAATGTATACAAATCATATAGCATTGGTCATTTTTTACGATTGTTAAGATATTTTTTGCATATTATGAGTAAGGAAGATTTTTTTTACATGTTTCTTTGTAATTTAGAACTGATAAACTTTTACTGGCATTATTGAAACTATCTGGTTTTATGAAATAACTTATAGAAAAAGGAGATATAAATGCTTGTTTTATTTTCGGACATCCTGCACATTGTACGATGTTTTGTGGCATGTAGATACAGAGCATATGAACATTTATCAAGAGTGTAGACTTAGGACAGAACCGAATATTACCAAGGCTATGGACTTATATTCTACACCCACGTGTAGAACATTCATATCCACCATTCATATATATAAAGATTGACTCCTGTCCATAAATGATACAAATATTACAAATAAACGATTTTTATAAAGACATAGTATTCAATAATATTGAAACCAGGACAAATATACACATACGTTTTTACAAAACACAACACACAGAAACTACGATCAAGTCTCAATAAAAGAATAAACAAGTTTTCCAAGAAATAATATTATCATACTGTACTAACATTGTTTACGGGTCAAGGACTACAGCAAACTTCGGGTACTAAGAAATCAACCGCCTGAGTCTAACACAAGGTGGTACATTGCATAACGCACTCGCCTTTCACCAAGGCCACCAGGGCTCAATCCCCCGATCTCACGTGAAAAGGTATGGATGAGCTGCCCGACACCGTTGGTTTTCTTTTCTTCCACATTATGACCCCCACATCTCTGACTTGCTAGCATCCGGGCCAACAAGAGTGATTAATGAAGGTTAAACTAACTTGTATCATAATTGTTGTAGAATAATTAAAGTTTATATTTGTATATACACCCTAATTTTTGAAAGATGAACCTATTACACACATATGGCTGCATAATTTTAAAAAGGTATATATACAGTATGCCAAAAACTGCACTGTATCATACAGAAGAGGGGAGGTAATTATTAATATTAAATCATTCAGAGTGCCAGAAAAAAACAATCTATGAAATAGCGGACTGCTCGGTAAAAATTCTGTCACCTCACATTTTCCTAAATATATGAACATAGTAGCAGACAATTAACCAACAAGATACTCCTTGAGAGCAAGCAGAACAGTACGATATGCTGAGAACACACTTTATAACTAAAGCAGTATGCAGAAGATGTACATCAAGTTTGTTTGATAATTGATTTGTCCATGTCAGTGCCGACCATGTTGTGGAGGTTGATATTCTTCCGCTCACCAAAATTAATATTTAATAACGTCACGAACTAAATTGACAAGACGCAATGTTTCAGAGTAACTTGAACGATTTGTTTCTATGCACACAGGAATTAGAAAAATAAAATATCCCGACCTGGAGGTTGCCGGGTGCTCAATGCAAGTTAATGTATAAAGGTTCTACAACAAATGGACGTGCATGTTCATTGTTTTCTTACTTAGTAAAGAAAGTAGTAGCGTTAGTTAGTATTCAAATTTAGAAAGGACACAAAGTTCAGATCGAACCACTTTGGGATTTATCCACAACTGATAATTGTAATTGTGGGTTTTACTCTTGTAGTGTTATAACTATGTAAACACTGTATCAACTTATTAGTTTTAGGACAACATCTCTATACAAACGTCTCCCTTCAACGATGTTTACATTTTAAATGTACCATAGTCAAACTCAATAGCAAAATTTATCTCAAGATAACCCAGAATGACAGTGTATATGGGAGAGCAAAATACAATGGCAAATAGTTTGACTGCCTCAAAAATATTACCATGAAATCAGAAATCCTATTCACAGATTGAAAATATAATAAAAGCAAAACAAAAATTAAAAAAACAACCGGGGACATATCAGATTCTTTTCTGATAGACATGTTTGTCAGCTCTAGGTAAGAATCTCCAGAAAACAGCACAAACATCTTTAATTAATGCCTGTGACAGTGTTTTAACGAAAACTAAATGAGTTAATCGTGCGAAAAGAATGCATTTCTCAAAGCTAAAGAAATACAAAACTTAATTTTAATTTGGTAGTATTTTAAAAACTATGGTTTATATGTTTCATGTTTCTGTGTATCAAATATACTAATTTGCTACTAGTTTAAGCCTTGTCTACGTCAGATTCCATAACTTCTTGATAAAGTTAAAATTGGGACACCGTGTGGACGATAAACTAGTTTGGAACTAATTACACCTTGGTCTAAACAAAAGACAAAACCAGAAAAGAAAGTCGATTCAAAAATACATGAACTGATGAAGTGTAACCTTTCTTTCTTTTATCTTAAGAGCGATATCATGACGAAATTTGAAAAAAAAAGAATCACGTAATTATCTTTTTTGTTAATTTAAAACATCTTTATAAATCAAATTCAAAGGGTCACAGCGCAAATATTGCCACACCGCATTCAAATGTAAAGGGTCATAACGCGAAAATTGCCACACCGCGATCATTTTAAAGGATCACAACGCGAACATTTCCACACGTGAAAATTTCCACTTTTACGGAATATTAGAAGAACTACCTGCATTTCACCGTTCCTTCTGTGTTCACGTAGCATTCCCCGTCGTGTGAGCAAGGGTTTTTTGTAGCACATTTATGAATGCAAACAAACCCTGATGAATTACTCCATGAACAAAGCGTATCATAAGGACAAACGTTTTGTAATGCACTACAGATTCGGTCCTCTCGTGTAGACGCCAACATTTCTGAAAAATAACATACTTATGAAATGTATTAAACATTATAATACATTTTTGGCCCTTGTGATACATTTGTAGAATGACATGTAACTATTTGAAGCAGTTAAATTTCGCAAGGGCAAAATCGGATGGAAATATAACTGCTTATTGTAAACCAACTCTACCATCATGGAGATTGATTGATTTATTATAAAAAGGAACGATTTAATCACACAGAATTATTAAGTGTGCGAATTCTTTCTTAAACGTAGAGAAACGTTTATATTTTTTTAGGTTGGGGACGTTTGAAGTAAATTGATAGCATTGTGTTCAGACTCACCTGTAGCTATTGCTGAAGCAGTCTTGTTGCTTTCAACTGCATATATTTTCCTGTCAACTGTGATATTTACATCTCTATAATCGGATTTCGTTTTGTCGAAAACCTGCTTTTGGAAGTCAGTGTTGCCTTTTAAGGTAAATTTACAAGCAATTGAACCCTTACTGAAATAAATACAAACATGACTACATAATGTTGATTATATTTAGAACAGTAATTTTCAAAATGTACAGTAAAAAATGTATTAAATTGCAGCAAAACAATGAAAAACGGTGCAGGATTTACTCAATTGAAAGAAAATATCAAATGTACCTCAAGGGCATAAAACAGAATCATAGTAATACATTCTCAATTCTTTGATTTTTGACCGGAATGATGATACATCTTAACACGACTAGTGTGTAACAGGCCAACGGGCCTCATCAACTTATATGTATACCTATTGTTATTCGCGAAAACTATATCAATTTAAAAATAAGCTCAATATATTAATGCATTGGTTTCAGCTAAATAAATATGAAGTAAAAAACTATAAAATATGTTCTCATACTTACAAGAATCCATTTATCGTAAGGCCTTTGAAGCCCTCATAATCCCCGTATATTAGGACTAGCTGAATAAAAAATAAATAAAAAAAATCATCAAAAGCGGAAAGAATGGACAAGAATTCGTTATATATTTGTGTGAAAGATAATGAAAGAAAATAGTGTATTTTTCATGCTTTAATATTCACGGTATTTGTATATAAAAGATTTTTTGCTTTCTCAAAACATCAGATATATGTTTGGCTGGATATTGAACATTGAAGAAATTGAAAATTCAAATTGACAGCTACAAATTTTAAGAAAATCCGACGAAGTTAAGGATTAATCCACGATAGTGTTTGCGTCAGTACCACTAATGCGTTCTAACAGGACGATATTGAAATTAGGTGCATTGCAATGGTAACTTTGTTTGGATTTACCCACTGACGTATTAATTGTTTCAAATACGTGTTTCCTCCCGCATATTTCCAACGAGTATATTACATTACAAGTTGGTTGAATCTGCTATCAGGGTCCGAGGTTGGCCAAAGCATTGTAACTGGAATTTACTTTTGCACGAATTACGTGAAATAATAGTTTAAGTATGTATTATTAGTTGTATCCAGAGTTGTGAAAATTTAAGGGTTCATAGGCATCTTTTCACTAAACCTGTATTTCCTTATATGTTTCAGAACAATAAGGAAATGGATTTTAATAAGAGCATATCTCTCGGGCGCCGAAGGCGCCCAATCGAAGCTCTTTAATGGTGACACATGCGTGCGTAAACAGAGTTGCTTCCCCTTTCTATACGTTGCCTTTTCGTCCGGAAGTAGACGTCCTGTGGGGAAACAGGAAGTGTATCCTTGAAGCAAAGACAATTGTGTTTCAACCCATACATGAAAATCTTCATATAGTGAAAACAATCTTCATGTTTTATTACTTGTTTATTTAGATAAAAAAAAAATAGTATACATTGTAAGTGAAAAAGGTCTATCACATATAATGAGGTACTAACAGGCATGAAACTTCGTTTAGAGATTATCACACTATGACGTCACAAGCACGTCACAATCCATCGGCCTTCATCGGTTATTTCCGGAAGGATGAAACATAACCGGAAAATTCTTGAACTGATGTCCGTTGCATTTATCTCTTTGTCGGTGCTTCAAAACTTTTTTTATTTCAGTTTTTTCCAAAGGCACAAAAAGTAAAAATGCGGATATTTTCTATATAAGATATTTTTTTCACTAATTTCCCAGACAACCAACCCAAGTGAAACGCCCGTTTTCAGCAATGTATTACTTTTTCACAACGCGTGCCGATTTATTACTAGTTACAGACAGAAACTGTAATTTTATTTTGCATCGTTACCTGTCAAACCTCGGTGACAGTTACACAATTTGAAATTCAATCCGGTATTTCAGGATGGAACAGTAATTGAGACTACATATATAAAGATATAAGACAATTTCAGTTACATCAAAGTATTACAATGTTTTCTTTTTTTTAATTTCATTTTTTTAACTAACATCTCTATACATTTACTTAGACTAATCGTCAAATATGTAATATGCACTTTTTTCTATAGCAATTACCAAACAGTTTTCCCCCAGCTTATCTCAATAATTATTTTGGTGCCCTGACGGTAGCACGCAGATGGTTTAATTCTTAATATGGGAGGAAGCTGGAGTATCCAGAGAAAACCCGCGTGGTCGGGCAGGTGATCGGGATAGAATCCGGTGGAGACGAACGCATTATCTACTGCGCCACCCAACCCATCATATACGTTACGCACAAGAACAAATATCTACTTTAGCTTTGACTGCAAGAAAATGGCGTCATTGATGCAAAAATTATATTTTGAATACATTTTTACCAATCATAAATGATATAAAAATTCTACGTACGGGAGACCGGGGCAAGTTCGGCCATCCCTGATATTTTTAGTTTTTGAGCTAACATTTACAACTTTAAGGATCTTAGCAGTTTAGTTGACTAGGCATTTAACGACGAAAAAATGGCGAGGAAAACTCTAATGTAAAATGACTTAACAGGAGAAAATTACTTTTGAGAGGGTAGAAAGAAAATCATGATATCGCTTCTAGTTATGCAAACATTTTGAAACGGAATCGCTACTTTTTTACAGTCAAACGTGTAATATACTGACAGCTTCAAACGATAATCGTACAACGGACTTTAAAAAAAAGGTGGGGGCCGAACTTAATTGCCCCGGTCTCCCGATTGTTATGTCGGTCTTAATCTCATTAGAGCTTGTTTTTTATAGTTATTCGTCGACTTTAAATAAAGTTTATCTTATCTCATTCTGAAAGTTGTATTCTGAATCAGTAAATATCAGAAATCAACAAAAGCTACGCTCTTTTAAGGCTTTGCCTTTTCACATTATTTTTGTTTTTAGAACAACAGCGTTGACATTAATGGACAAAAAGCAATACGGTACATTAAATATTTATTTTAATTGGGCTTTCTATAACGACATATACTTTTGAAGTAAGTGTTTCCTTCGTCATAATTCAAGAACAGACTTTTCAATACGGTCAACTTACTCTTTGTTTGAAGGCAGTAGCATACGTCTGATACGTCGGTGAACTCGGATTATTCAACATGGACGGGTAACTGCCTTTCACATAAACAGTTAAAGTAAAAGACCAAATTGCGTGTTCTGAAATGAGAAATTTGTACCAGTGCTGTTATAATTTCATTTGCGAATAAGAACAGAGATTCGTGAGTTTATAATTTTCATGTTTTTTCTCACGAGTATAAAGAAAATAAAACTCCGCCACAATGCAAATATCTTCCTAGCAATATATTTTGTGACTTAAGCAGTTTATGGCAAACTTAGCATTAAACACCATATACAGAAATCACGTAGTATACAAAGCGTAGACCCTTTATTACTGTTTGATCTGAGAAACTCTTATGTATGTTGTCTTGTCATTATCCTGTCTTATCAACACACACACAAATATTGTATATGCCAACTTTTCCAGTGCTCTCTGATTATTCTGTAGAAGCTTTCATTTAAAACTTGTAAAATCGAAATACGTGTTGGAAAAAAAGATTGTTCATCTTGTATAACTTTCTACAAGATGAATCGATTTAACTAAGACCACAATTTGAAGGCTTAACGAATTTACACACTGACCAAAGTAAAGTTTGCAGAGTAATACAATATCAATTCCACATTACACTCATCTATATAAATCATCACACATAAAACTATATCAAGGATCATGCGGCTACAAGCGAGCTTACACATCCTATAAAGATTAATTACAAATAAATATGTTTGTCAGTTAAACCGCCTACAAATCTTACCTGCCTTTTACTACAACTATTATCGTATTTTACTACAACTATCACCTGTCGTTTAATACAACTATAACATTCCTTTTAATACAACTATCACCTGTCTTTTATTTCAACTATCACCTGCATTTTATGACAACTATCATCTGTCTTTTACTACAGCAATAACATGTTTTTTTACAACAACTATCACCTGTCTTTTACTACAGTTATCACCTGTCTTTTACTAAAATCATCACCTGTCTTTAAATGAAACTATCATCTGTATTTTACTGCAACGATCACTTGTCTTTTACTACAACTATCACCTGTCTTTAGATAAAACTATCACCTGTATTTTACTACAACAATCACCTGCCTTTTACTACAACTATCACCTGCCCTTTACTACAACTATCACCTGTCTTTTACTACAACTATAATCTATCTTTTACTACAACATTAACATGATTTTTACAACAAATATCATCTGTCTAATAATACATCTATCACCTGTCTTTTACTAAAATTATCACCTATCTTTTAATACAACTATAACCTGTCTTTAAATAAAACTATCATCTGTTTTTTGCTACAACTATCACCTGCGTTTTAATACAACTATCTCCTGTCCTTTACTACATTTATCAAATATGTCATTCACTAAAACTATTACATGTCTTTTACACAACAGTCACATGTTTTGTACTATACGTATCTCATGTTCCTTTATACAACTATTACCTGTCTTTTACTACAACTATCGCCTGTCGTTTACTACAACTATCACCTGTCTTTTACTACAACTACCACCTGTCATTTACTACATATATCATCTGTCTTTTAATACAACTATCACATGTCTTAAGTTCTAATCAGTCAGAAATGGATGTGGCCTACCTTGGTTTACCACCTATATATAACTCAAGTTAAACCTCCTGCAGTAACTATTGATATGTAAATACCTGCTACCAGTAATTATATATACTTAATCAACAAAGAGAATGTAACTGAATGTTGATTGTATGTTTACCGTCTAGTGTTTTAGCGACAAGTTTGTAAATAGCATTGATAAAAGTTCATCTTACCAAACATCGGTTGATGCCACTGATAGTTGTTTGACAAGGGATTTAATGTAGTGTTCCTTGGCATGTAAAAAAGCCTTGCATTTCCTCCTTGTATTGGAGCAAAGACGATGTACTTTTTCGGTGGACGAGCATATATAGGCTGTTGTTCTTGAGGTGGAGCAAAGACAGGATGTCCTTTGTTGTACGAGCTAGTGTTCGTGTTAATACTCATATTATTATTGTTCCCGTCTGGTGCTAAATTTTGAGTCCTCGCTGGTAGTTCTATTTAAACAAAAGAACTGTGTATTAAGTGTTACTTCATACGAGTGATGTACATGGATGTCTTGAAAACAAAAACAAAACACAAGTTATATCACATAAACCCTGTCGTCAGAACATAAGGGTACGAGTAAGTTGGTTTGATTATACCATTATACCAAACTTTGTTTAATAGATTTTTGAAATAACTGTGATTATAGCTTTTGGATTTAACAGCATGTTGGAAAACTCAAGTATCATATTGGACAGGTTTCACAGTAATTTTGTAATATAATGTTTGTAGACGTCTAAATGCAAAAGCTTCATAAATGTCATAATGTGTGTACACTCTTGAAATGATAGGTAATTCCTAAAACAGTCAATTACCTAAAACATATGTAGGAAAGAAAAAATAATCAGCACATTGTGCTACAATGATATTACATTTAAAAAGTAACATAATATATCTACAAACTAATTAATTGTGTTACCTATGAACGATCCAGTGACTTTTCTGACTGATGTACAAATCAGCGTAAGGAATAGACCTGTAAATGGAAACAAAAGTAATGTTTCAAATTTCATTGATATTTAAAAATTTTGCAAAATAAAAAATTCAGAATAGCGGATCTTCCAAATTTATATAACTGCTTTTTAAATGCTATTCAGCTTCTGGATATCTTGTTTCTTCTTTGTTATGTGTTGAACCCTTAAGAAGCAATCTGCAACGCCTGCTTCGAAACATAGGTTTCCAAACATGAACAGTTATGCAGTTCTACACTATAACTATCCAAACATGCATTAAGGTCATAGGAGTGTATTGCTTAACTGAAATAGGAAGTACATCCCTAGTTGAAAATCCAATGTAGGGAGACAGTATCACAATTTCCGCATATTCTAATGTTTAATATTAAACTGATGAATATTGTATGTTTATTATTGACAGAACAGTGTGTTCTTTCAATATTAAAATTATTCAAAGCAATCCAGGCATTAGTTCAGTTGTTTTTTAATCAATGAGTCACATGTGTCCATTGTTCTGTACTTCAGGAAACCGGCTACCTATTTCACTACTGTGAAGTTTTTCAAGAACGATAACTCTTCCATGCAATTACTATGTGTATATGGTTTTATTATAAAATGTCAATTTTTAATCGTTTATAGATAAGTAATCATACACAATTTCAGCATTGATGAAATTGATATACATTAATGCAATACTAATCTATCTCTATAATTTTAATTGACATTTTTTGCAAAACATTGTGTGTTTCATTATTGTTTTTCAAAATTCACTCCTTTTTACATAAATTTCCATTTAAAATCCTCATCATTCTGACAACCTATATTATTTTTGTGGCAGAAAATGTTCTTTACTTCAAAGCAATATAATTACAAAATGTGAAGAAATTCTACTGAGAAATGGCGACACAATCCTATTACCTTAATTAGTTACTTGTATTTCGATAGCACCATTGACTCATCTTATTCTTTATGTTCCCTGTAAAGGGCGTTTATGACAATGTCAATGTATAGTTTGTGGCTTGGTTGACATTACACACACACTAAGACAGTAAGATAGTAAATGATGTGTCAATTATGTTTAAAACTGTTTTACTCACATGATCTTTTAATTTTCATTACAGTCATACTTCTCATTCAGCACTGAGTCATACCTGTTTACCCAAATCCTTACTGATCAAAGTATATCCTTAAGGTAAAACCTGGTATAAAGGACTTGACGTGTCATCATCTTTTGTAATTTAAATATGCAATGTTATCGTGCTATCTATATGAAAAGCCACCGTCCGCCATGTTATTTTCTATTACGGGGTTCCCCGCGTGACTCACAAATTACTTTCTGGTAGACCGATGGAAAAGGTGGAATCGCCGTATCTACATCCTTCATAACTTTTGTATTACGAAACCGTCTTTCATATGGTTTTTGTAGCTTTACAAGTGTTTCATTCTGCGTTAGCACACTTCAATGTTAAAAATCAATAGATTAACTCTTTAAAAGGGACTATTTCGAGCTATGTTAAAAGCCTGTCCCCTCATTGTTTCAGAAGTAATAATAATAATAATTCGAGGTTCTCAATACCGCTTTATCACAACCGTGTTCGTAGGTCGTCTCTAAACGGTTCACTGATTATTATCGGTGGTTATAGGGCCTTTGCAACCAGCCAATATCTTTCTCAACTCCCTGGGGAGCATACAATCGGAGCTGCCATTTCGGCGCTAACAGCTATCATTCTGCAATTCTAGCACTGCCCATCCACGTACCCTTTTACAGCTGAGTAGACTGAAACAATCGGAGTAAAGTATCTTGCTCAAAGATACAACACAGTGCCGTGCCGTGACTCGAAAACGCAACCCTTCGGTCACGAGTCCGTAATGTAAAATATAGGATTTTTCATTTTTTATTATTCTTGTATACCAAACTTATTTGCAGTTTTTCTTAATTGTCATGGTTCATGGTCAGACCACATCAATTTTATTTATGAAAAAAACCCATATAAAATAATAAATCTGTTCAGATCACTTAAGTATAGCTCGAAAGGAAATCTTTAGAAATAATATACAAATCTTATATTCGTCCAAACCTTCAGTATGCAAGTGTTGTGTGGAATAATTGCGATCAGACAAAACCCGATCTTCTTGAATCTAACCAGCTTGGTGCTGCTTGAATAGTTACTGGATTACGTAGGGGTACTAGTCATGCTGTCATTTATAATGAACTAGGATGGGATACACTTAAGAAACGCATAAATGACCAGCAATATATGCTTTTTTTTAAAATAACAAACCGTCATACCCCTAATTATCTATTTGAAAACATTGAACCTTATATTATAAACAATGACTTAGTGACCCATGATATTCGACATCAACGTATATTTCAAACACACATTTGCAGAACTAGTATATATTTTAACAGTTTCTTTCCTAGTATGATGTCTCGGTGGAGTAGATCCGATTGTAATTATTATAATTTTAGGTCCGTAAGTAAACTTAAAAAACAACTCGTCCATCATGCCATTCTTCCTAATGCTGATGATTCGTGTACAAATGCTTTTAAATATGATGGGACTATATCTTTTAACGTCATGCAAGTCAATTAAATTCTGATCTTGTTAGAGACCACATTACTACAAAATTGTAATAGCCTATCCTGTATATGTCGCAACCAGGACGAAGATGTGGATCATTTCTTTCTATACTGCCCTAGGTATATAACCCAAAGACAAAACCTATTAGATTATCTGTCTCATTCGCAGCTTAACATTCAACTAAACCTACATTTAAATATCGACTTAAACCTGATTGAACATTTAGTAAATAATATCAATATACTAACTAGGGGAAGTAACCTACTAAGTCATTATCTTACTTCTACTATTTGTGTCTGTGTTCAGAAATATATTGAGGCTACTAACAGACTTTGAAATAACTGTTAATTGTAGTTCCAATGTGTACGTATACATGTCTATATGAATATTCCGCCAACACGGCTCCTGCTCTGGATTATCAATGACTGGGTAAGCACACAGTGGTGGTGTGTATGGACATTTTAGTGCTGCTCAGTTATAATTGTTATCGGGAGTAGGAGTGGTGTTGAAGGACTAATTGGTGTTACTACTGGTTACTATGTAAAGAAAAAATTACAAAATAAAAACAACTATATTTGTTTTACTTCAGTTAATTTTATGTTTTTTTAATTTTAATTTTGCTTAGTTCAAAGAGAGATAGAGACTACTAATTACTATTTAATGTTCCAAGCCAGTGCTTATATGTTAATGTCTAAATTATAATTATGTTATTGTTTGTAATGTATGTAACCTATGGGAGAGGGCTTGTATAGGCATAGCCTATTGCCCAATTCCCATTGAATCATTTGATCTAATCAAATATTTTGTAATGAAAAAAAATATCATAATGAAGAGTAAATGTATTGGTGAAGGTCGCCATCGTATCCTCGCCAAATCTCGTTAATGTAAAGGTACACGAAATGTAAAAAAAAGAGGCTAAACTGGAACAAATATTTTCTTCTTTTCCACCAGTGTTCAGTCATAATGATTAGACTTTACATATAGCCATGCTTTCTGATTTATAAACCATATTGTCATTTGATCCCTCCTTTGAATATCTTCCACCACATATTTTTGATTGATATTTTTTGTCATTCGTAGTTCATGACCTAGTCCTTCCATCATCAAAATATGTTTGGTATACAAAAGTTATAAGCTACTTTTATTGTAAGATGAACACATTATTTGTCTGGAAAATATCATTGCAGATGGCTTCCCGCTGTTGATTCGACTGTAAACATATGATAAATCACCATAGCAAGATATTTTTACACATATACTGTAGCATATGATCCCTAGTTTTGGATGCATCAAAATTTAATTTTGTTTGGTATTTTTGTTGTGATAAAGTTTAAGTCTAAACCTCACCAAAAGAAAATTGAAATCAAAGGAGAGGTCATTTTGGAACCAGCCCCCCCC